CCCACACAGCCAGTCCTCCCCTTGCCCTGGCTGGCTCCAGACTCCCCTCAACAATGGCTTCTCCTTCCCTCTCCTGAACATCCTGGGAGGGGCATCTCACTCCCTATGGGTTGCCGCGCAGACTCTGACCCTGGTAGGGAGGGGGAGCCAAGGCAAACTCCGAGTACCTCTCCCTGAGCTGCCAGCAGACAAAGCCCCAGGAATCTAAGAAATCTCCTTGGGGGTTACAGGATGTCAGTAGGATCCATTACTAGAACTGGTCTGATAATGACTAATTTGGGTGTGAGCAGGCCTGGGTTCATTAGCACCTGGAGCAGAGATTTCCCATCAGGCAGTGCTTCTCTGCTTTCGGTATCCCATAGTTCAGTGCAGTTCCTGCTTTGGAAGAGCTGCTCTCCATTCTGTATGCTAATGGAGATGTGTCTCTGTTCTGTCTTCAATGCAGATGGGGCTGGGGTGTTTCCTTAATTCTATCATCCTTGTCTGGAGGAGTTTAGGTGGTCTTCCCTGGCCTTTTCATTGCTTTGTCTGTGATTCAAGTAGAGGCCTGGGGGAGGGGATGGTTTTTTACGAGTGTCACTCCCTGGCTCCTCAAGAACACAAGGTGGACAGGTGGCAATGCTCTGGTTCCCCAAGAACACAGAGCTGATGGATAACATTTCTCTCTTTCCCCTTTGTAACAAGAAGGATGAGCAGTTATTTAGATAAAAATCTTACAGTAGTTCCCTTTTTGTTACTTGTAATAAAAGGGTCAAGTTCACCAAATGCCTGAATTTGAGTTACTCCATAATAGCACTCAGATTTTAAATGTCCCCAGTGAAAAGACTCCTTTGGGTTTTTTTAAGCAAATAACACTAAAAAAGAATAATTCAAAATGTGCTTTAAAAAGCAAGATCTCAAAATTACGTATCCTCCTTAAACAGTTCAAGTAATTCAGTGAGAGTTTTTAGACGCAGATGTGTAGATTAGCTAGTTTTCTGAAAACTCTTTTCAAAGCCTAGGTGTGTGATAACATTGAAAACATGTCCACATATAACTTCTTTGATTTGTTGCTCTGCAGACAAGCCATTCTGTTTGTGTTCAGCAGCAACCAAATAGCACCCCATACCCCCACCCCCGATTCTGTCCTTACAGAGCCTTGAAAGATGTGCTTGCATTTTCCTACTTTGAAAAGGGTTTGCTAACTTTTTCAGAACACAAAGATTTTATGGTAGATTGTTATTATTCCAGAGGCATAGCTCACACCACCAGAGTTAAGCTTTTTTTATAAACCTTTTTTGTCAGTGGCTTATAACTTGGGTGTAAAAAATCCCTTCAGGCTGCTACTTAGCAAACATGGTCTCAGATTTTTATTTCAAACTTTTTTGAGTTGTGGTATATTATAAAAAGAGATTTAAATTAGTTTTATCTTTATTATCACTTAATGCACCATACATGTGCCTAATGCCTTAAAAAACAAAGTACAAGCCCCTATCCTGAGTGTTCATGGAATTTAAATTATAAAATACAACAGGTTTGTGTTCTAAAACTGTGTGTAAAGGAGGGGCCAGTGTTCCGCTAAGCTGCCCCGCAGCACAGCTTCACACAGGTGATTAATCAGCCCTGCCCAGTCAGAGGCTCAGGGCTCCATGCAGGGAGCTGACTGACTGGGCAGGACTGATTAATTACCTATGAAGCTGTGCTCCGGCCCAGCTTACACAGAACACTGGTACGGACCAGTATTCCCTCCAAGATGGGCACTTGTTCAGCCAATTGAGAGATTCACATGCTGCCCAGCTGATTAGCAGAACATCCACAGCTAGGTTTTGTTACTACTTGTGGTGCGCATGAGATGCATCGATGCACATGAAAATTATAGTCCGCACATGGATTGAAAAGATTAGAGAGAACACTGCTGGGGGATATAAAATATTTGGAACCAACTCTTCAGAATATCTATATTATTCAGCAATGTAAAGCTATAAATGAATTATGTAGGTCTTTGTAAACAAGAGGAAATTTAAATTTTATAGCATCTCATGCTCCCACATGTTCTCACAAATTCAACATAACTTTTCCAGAGTGAAGTTATTTTTTGAAAAAAATTACTTATTCTCATTTAGATCAGTTTTTTTTCTTTATTTGTTCCTCTTTCTGCTTTCGCGTTGCACATTGTCTCATTTATGACAATATTCTTAAACTTGAGTGACTTTGAAGTATGTTAGGTCCTGAAGAAACAATGCTGTCATTGGCACGAATAGAATTCAGTGAAAGCAAATTGCTACAAGTTCAGTTGTGGTTCACTCAGCATATTATTCAAAGGTTGCGTTTGTAGACTTTCATATTTCTCCATAGTTTTCTATGCTTCTAACACTCAGCTTTCTGGTATGTTTCAGTGATGGTTGAATGGCATGTAAAAAGCATATAAAGTTTATAAAAGCTGACAGAAAAATGGAAGGGTGATAGCTGAATTTGCGATACTCATAAATTTAATAAGTTAATTTATATAATATCATGGAACAATTCTTGACCAATAAGAGATAACAAGTGGTGTGACAGAAAAGTGGTTAAAAAGTATGTTGGGAGCATAGCCTTACAAATGCTTAAAAATTAGAGAGGAGCTTTGCCTTGAAGTTGTAGAAGGAGTCTACTGATTTCCTCTGTAGGAGGAGGATGTGTCTCATCTTGCTAATTAGGAAGAGGGGAAGGAATCAACCATCCATCTCTTCTTTCTTTCCCCGCCATTCCTTGAATGCATTGGCTAGAAGAAAATTTCCGGTTTGTTACCTACTGGAGGTCACCAGATTTTGAAATTTGTATCATCTGTTTGTACTTGATTTCATTACTGCATATGTGGCATAAATAGACTTAGAATAATAGAATCCCAGGGCTGGAAGAGACCTCGGGAGGCCATCAAGTCCAACCCTCTGCCCAAAGCAGAACCATCTCCAGCTAATTCTCTAGGATTTAAAAATGTCTAGGAATGGAGATACCACTACCTCCCTAGGTAACCCATTCCAGTGCCTTCCCACCCTCCTAGTAAAATAGTTTTTCCTAATATCCAGCCTAGACCCCCCCCCATTGCAACTTGAGACCAATACTCCTCGTTCTATCACTACTGAGAACAGCCTCCATCCTTTTTAGAACCTGCCCTCCCTTTCAGGTAGGTAAAAGATGCTATCAAATCCCCCCTCACTCTTCTCTTTTGCAAACTACACAAGCCTAAATCCCTTAGCCTCTTCTCATCAGTCATGTGCTCCAGCCCCTAATCATTTTGGTTGCCCTCTGCTGGACCCCTCCAATGCGTCCACGTCTTTTCTGTAATGGGAGCCCCAGAATTGGACACAATACTCCAGATATGGCTTCACCAGTGCTGAATAAAGAGGTATAATCACATCTTTGGATCTACTGTCAATGCTTCTTGTAATGCACCATAATATGCCATTAGCCTTCTTGGTTACAAGGGCACACTGTTGACTATAGTGGATAAGATCCAGCGTTTTATCCACTGTAACCCCCAGGTCCTTTTCTGCAGAACTGCTACTTAGCCAGTTGGTCCCCAGCCAGTAGCAGTGCTTGGGATTTTTCCGTCCCAAGTGCAGGACTCTGCACTTGCCCTTGTTGAACCTCATCAGATTTCTTTTGGTCCAATCCTCCACATTTGTCTAGATCACTCTGGACCCTATCCCTACCCTCCAGTGTATCTACCTCTCCCCTAGCTTAGTGTCATCTGCAAACTTGTTGAAGGTACAGTCCAGCCCCTCGTCCAGGTCATTAATAAAGATATTGAACAAAACTGGCCCTAGAACCAACCCTTGGGGCACTCTGCTTGATACCAACCAGACATTGAGCCATTGATCGCTGACCACTGAGCCCGACAATCTAGCCAGCTTTCTATCCACCTTATAGTCCATTTATCGAATCCATACTCCCTTAACTTGCTGGCAAGAATACTCTTGGAGACCATATCAAAAGCTTTGCTAAAGTCAAGGTATTTCACGTCCACTGCCTTCTGACTTGTAAAATGTTGGGTTTGTTTTGTAGGTATGTTGATGACGTGATCAGCCGCATTGATAGGATGTTCCCTGAAATGTCTATCCATTTATCCAGGCCAAATGGAACCTCAGCAATGCTTCTGGTAAGTTCTACCATTTGGTTTTGAGGTAATTCAGTGGGAGTTGAATGCTCAACAGACTAATTTGCTGTTCTTAGAATGAACACTACTAAAGACTCATACATTTCAGAGTATTAGTGTTCCTGAGGCAGTGCAGTAATGTAGTTCATTTCTTCTTCTTGGTAAGAAAGATGGGAAAATATATTTGACATAGTCCAAAAGCAAAAAGTATTGATCCAATCCTAGGAGACATTTTCTTTATGGATGTGAATGGTTAACTGGTTAACCAGTAAACCTCACCCTTAATGGCTGAGGTTTACTGGTTTCGGTTAACAGGTAGAGACTGGAGCAGCTCCCCACCCACCCAGTGCAGGGGGCTGCTCCAGCCCCACAGGCCCACTGCAGGCAGGGCAGGGAGCTGCTTTAGATGAGTTTGAAGGGAAAATAAATTTCTGTATTTTGTGCACTGATAAAAAATTTGATACATAACATCTGAATGACAAGTACATCATTTGACATTACAAGATTTTGCCATCTTGACTATGGGCCTTATTCTGAAATGCTGAAGTAAAAGGAAGTTTTGCCATTGAGTGCAGTGGGAGCAAGATCAAGTTTTGTTGCTGTTTAATTGGAGAAGTGAATATTCTTAGTATTAAAATCTTTATCATAAATATTCTCCTAATTTGATGCAATGTAAGGATTAAGTTTTTAATTTAGAGGTGTTTTTAATATAAAAAGAGTAAATGGTCAGCTTGGTACTCTTTTAGTATCCATACTATTAGATGTGGATGTTGAAGTTTGAGTCCACCAAGCCTCAGACACAGTAACCGGGCCTGGAGCCTCATTATTTCAGGGGGTGAGAGTTTAATGGGGGGAAAAACCCTTAGTGAAATAGGTGAGTTCAAATTTTTTCAGGGTCAGTGAGTTTCTGCTTCATGATGAAGTCAGGAATTTGGCATCAGAGTGAATGAGCAGTAAAGACTGGATTATCAATAAATGGGTTCAAGATATTAGAGTTACTTCTGTCTGAGCAAACAAGCTTCCATGCCACAAGGACCTATGAGCCACATCAGTTTTCACATGCAGCTGCTGTCTTAAAGGCAAGAAGAGAGCTTTTCAAATTTTTAGTGTAGAAGATTAACCTGTTGAAGGGTTTTGAGCAGTGGCCATGTGACACTTTTCATGTATTTAGCTTTTTTATGCTATCAAGGTGAGTGACAGAAGTCCTATCATTTGTCATATTTAAAATTATATATATTTTATAAATGGCAGAGGAATTGGATGGGGCCTAGCCAGTCTTTCCCATCAGATTTCTCATTCCATTTCCTTGTATGATTGATTTTTCATTGTCATATACACAAATATGAAAAATTGGCTATAACAGCTGTGGCACCTTAAAGACTAACAGATTTATTTGGGCATAAGGTCCTATGGCACCTTAAAGACTAACAGATTTATCTGGGCATAACCTTTCGTAGGCACATGTCATAGTAAGTACATATGCTAGTATATTTATACCTGTCTCTGTAATTTCCACCTGTGCCATTGGACTCCTCATTGTTTTTGAAGATACAGACTACCGCTCTGATATGTATTTTAAAACATTGTCATTAAAGGGTCCAAAAATTAAAGTAATTTCTTCAAGAGTACCCAACATTAGCACTTAGATACTGTGCTGACGGCACTGTGCATGTGAGACTGATAACAAATAACTGTGTGAAATGTGGTTCTTGAGGAGACATAAAATACGGGGCCAGAAAAAGATTAACCTGTTCTCTTGCTTTACTTAGTGCTTCCTGGCTCTTTATTCAAACTATTTTATCTTGTATAGTTTAGTGAATATTAAAATGAATGAAAAATCAGAATCTTTGACCAAATTGAACAAAAAGGTATGGCGTTAGCTTGGTACACTGGCTTTCCATTTCAGAGGTTTGGTCATTTAATCCCATTTTACACTGATGATTTCATTTGTATTTCTCAGCAGGAGAAAGGAAAGACTTTCACAAGCTGTGCTGATTTATAATTATAATACCCCGGTAGTCCTTCCAATCTTTTTTGATAACTTTCTTGGAAACTTCAGTTAATCGGATGTAGAAAATAATTCAAGGTTTCATTTAATGTCTAGTCTAAGCCAAAGTTAAACAACCTGTGAACATATTTATGACTCAGTGTTAGTTGCCACCTAAAATCTGGGATGTTTCTGTAGCATCTGTAGACTTCAGAATCCTCAATGTAAGTAAATGCCCTGCACATTCCTTGTATGGATAAATGAACTTCATCCTTAAGTCTAGCTGTGTTGATATTTAGTTTGTTAATCAATTAACATCCCATTATTTTCTTGGAACAGACAAAAAAATTGCAGGAGATTAACTGAGCCAGAGGTTAAACAGCTGGCTTTCACTGGCATTAAAATGTCATTTGCAATTGTTTGATAAATAAGGTGAAATTAAAAAAATCTAAGGAGCCATAAAATGGTACTCTTCAAGATGCTTTTAAAGTTACTCTTTGTTTGTTTGTTTGTTTGTTTGTTTATTTATAGCACTTTCTGTATGGGGAAAATATTTGTTGCCATTTTCACTATGAACCCAGTTGGATTCAGAGCAGTTCCTACTAAAGGCAGAATGCCCTCATCTTCTTTTATAGTGGGAATTGAGGACACTTAACATTATTTAGGATCAAGTCCCAAACGTGTTGTGATTTGGGCACATTGGTGAAGTATGGCTAAAGAATAAAGTAGGCTAGAAGAGTTCTTGGAAGAGACTCTTTTTTCTGCAGTAAGTATAATGTGCTGAATTACATGACTAAATTGCCCTGTGTGCCCCACTAGTACATATTGAACCTCTCTAGTCCAGCACCCTCAGGACCTGATGGATACCAAACCAGAGAATTTGCTTAACCATGATAAGTCAATATTGTAGCAAGTGGGTCTCACTGCTTGCTGGGCTCTTAAAAGACATTAGAGATAAATAACACAACACAGGTAGCTGTAAACAAACTTTATAGGACTGTGAAAAACTTGGCCACACCAATGATAAATGGACATCTAGCTAACTAAAATCATGCCAGCTCAGGTATGGTGCCAGACTAGAGAGGTTCAACCTGTAAATCATGAACATTATCATTAGAACCAGATTACTGCAGTGTACTGAACCAGTGATACTTGGCTTTCAGTTGGTATTCATGTAATCCACAATCAGAGAGCATTAAACTTTGTTTTAATGTTATTTATTGTATATGGTCATTTAATGATCATTTTTCCTTTCAGGCAGCTATTTCCTCCTTTAACAGGGAAATTTCTCCTGCGAGTGCCCCCACCTGGTCGAGTGCATGTTCCTGCACTCACTCTGTTCTTCAGCCTTTTTTGGCTATTCAGCCCTCTGGCCGAGTCATACATCCTGCTTTCATCTGAAGAAGTGGGCTGTACCCACGAAAGCTCATGATACCATCTATGGCTATGTCTACACTCGCGGCTTCTTGCGCGAGTAATATGCAAATGAGGCTAAGCATGGAATATCGCCAAGCCTCATTTGCATACCTAATGAGCCACCATTTTTTTCAGAAGAGGCTCTTGCGCAACAAGGAGCGTCTACACTGCCCTTTCTTGCGCAAGAAAAACCCTCTTGTACAATGCCGTTACACCTATGACTTTTCAGAAAGAACAGCATTGCGCAAGAGGGTTTTTCTTGCACAAGAAGGGGCAGTGTAGATGCTCCTTGTGCAAGGGCCTCTTCTGAAAAAAACAGTGGCTCATTAGGTATGCAAATGAGGCTCGGCGATATTCCACACTTAGCCTCATTTGCATATTACTCGCGACCCCCCCCCCATAGCTTTGCATTATGTCTGAGATTTTAGCGTAAGCTCTCTGAGGCAGGGGGCTATGTCTTGCTTTGAATTCAAGGCATCAAGCATGACCTAGAATAATTCAGTTGACCAAGAAAAGTAAAGTACAAAAAGCCCTTGATTATTGAGACATTATAGGCCCATATTTTCAACCATTGAGCTGGATTGTGCCATCTCCTTTTGTGAGTGCCAGGGACCAAAAGGGTGGGTCAATGCAAATGAATATATAGAAGGGATCTACTAAGTCCAAAACACAGTGAGAAGGAGGCAGCCTTCCTCAGGCATGTTCCATTAACTCTTCACGCTATGAAACTCTCATTGTGAGGCTTCAGAGAGGTGTTTAGAATCCTGCTTGTAGGGAGCTGGAAGAGGGCAATGCAGAGGCCAAGAGAAGTCCATTGGTTTGGGGAGCTAGCCTCCCATTTGTTCTAAGGGGGAGGGATAGCACAGTGGTTTGAGCCTTGGCCTGCTAAACCCAGGGTTGTGAGTTCAATTCTTGTGGAGGCCATTTAGGGATTTGGGGCAAAAATTTGTCAGGGATGGTACTTGGTCCTGCTGTGAAGACAGGGGACTGGACTCAATGACCTTTCAAGGTCCCTTCCAGTTCTAGGAGATAGGCAATCTCCATTAATTTATTTATTTAATTTAGTAGAGCATTAGTGTTACATCTCCATATCAAAAGATCAAAGGCAAGACAATTCCACAAGGTGACTTTCATAATTTCCAGCCCCCCATGAAGAAAATTTTCTCTTGGAGAATAATTTTGTCCTTTGTCTAAAAACATTTTCAAACTTAGCAATGCATGTTTTGCATTGCTTTTCATGCATGTTCTGCATCTACTTTTCATGCTTTATTTGACTGTCTAATTTTGAACTTTAGCTGTTCTTAGCTACCTTTATGGGAAAACAGTAAAAGTATGCTTGCTAGCCCATTTGTAACTTCAAATGGATGAGAAAGTTTTAACAAACTTTCCCAAACAAATTACCTCAGTGAAGAGACCTAATACTGTTAGCCCAAAATATTATTGTTCCATAAAGTTATGAGAGTTTAAAATTGTTTTGCAACTTTAACAGTAGCAGTTGTGACTACAGGCAGTCCCCGGGTTACGTACAAGATAGGGACTGTAGGTTTGTTGTTAAGTTGAATTTGTATGTAAGTCACCAACCCGGCCTTTTTCGAAAGAA